TGACTTGTTCACAGACAAAAACGTAAATGCATTTTTTTGGGAGAGACACTAAAATGCACGGCGCACAGGAAGGGGTGTGGCTTGCTTCGGCGTGCCATTCTATTGAAGGACCAGTTGTTTGAGTAACGGCTGACAAGGAGGAAGAGCACATGCACCTTGCTGAAGAGCCAGTGCTGTGGTCCAAGAAACTGCGGACGGATGGCCCCTCCAGCTGGGCCCGGCCCTGTCTCGCTTTCCCTCCTGCCTTCATAGACATTCCCGGGAGACTTGCCCGCACAGCGCCCACCGGCGCCCCACCAGCTCCCCGCCAGCGCGGGCCCCCTCAGCGAGCAGCATCGTGCAGGCACCTCCGGGACCCTCACCTGCTGCTGCCCAGGTGCAAAGTGGGGCAGCCAGCCTGGAAGACAAGGTCGGTGGGGGGGTCCTTATAAAACCAAATGTCCTCTAACCGTACGACCCAGCAGTCACGTTCCTTGGTTCTGACTCAGAGATGCTGAAAACTCCCATCCACACAGAAAAACCCGCACCGATAAGTGGAGGTTTTCACTGGCTGTGATCCCGGGTCACAGCAGTTTCGTTCACCGTCGCCGAGACTTGGAGGCAGCCGGGGGGCCCCTCGGTGGGGTGGACGGGCACACCGGGGTCCGTCCAGATGGGGGGGATCATGGAGCAACTGAGAGAAACGGGCCATGGAGTCACGAAGAGACGCACGTGACTAAGCGGGGAGGCCAGTCCGTGGCAGCTGCGTGCTGCAGGGTGCCGGCTCTGTGACACTCCGGGCCGGGCCGACCTATGGAGACCATGCAGTGCACACATCAGGGGCTGCGGGGGCGGGAGGCATGACTGGGCAGAGTGCAGAGGGCTTGGGGCGCCTGTCCCAGGCCTGAGCGTCCCTTTATCGTTCAAGGCGTTGGCCTCGCCCTCTCTCCCACTAGGTCTCCGCAGCGCGCAGACCAGAGTCTGAGCTTCTCCCGGCCATGGAGAGGGGCTGCAACGTTTATGTGGCGGTGTCAGCGTGTCAGCAGGTCGGGCGCTGTGTGTGGGCAGTGGAGGGGCCACGGGTCAGGCTCCGGAGCATTTCTTGGGGTGCGAGCACTCACAGGAGACTCGGGGTGCTCTGGGAACCGCAGGAGCGCAGCGGCGGCAGCCAGGAGGGCTCCCTGCTGGCGAGGGAGTGGCAATGGGCCGGCAGGGACACCTGGAGCCTGGGATGGGGGTCACAGAGGACACTGTTGTGTCCTCCAAAACGAGATGCCACTGAAGCCCTAATGCTCGCTGCCCGTGAACGTGACCTCCTTTGGAAACCGGGACTTGGCGGATGTGGCTGGTTGAGACGGGGTCAGGCTGGGGTAGGACATCAAGGCCCCGATCCATCGGGACCGGGGTCTTCCAGGAGGAGGAGAGACGGAGCCAGGCAGGGAGGGGAGGGTGGAGGCAGACCTCGGGGTGATGGGTCTACAAGCGGGGGGCGCCAGGACTGCTGGTCCCTCGGCGCTACGCGGAGGCGGAAGGATCGCCGCCAGAACCTGCAGGGGGAGCGCGGCCCTGCCCGCCCCTGGCCTGGGCCTTGTGGTCACTGCAGCTGTGCGGGAAGGGGTCAGGTTGTCTGAAGCCACCCAGTCTGCTGTCCGGCGTGCGGTGGCCCCTGTTGCTAATACAGACACCACCCGGCTGTCCCTAGGCTGTGTGGCCGGTCCGGCTGAGGGCGGACCAGACCTGATCAGACTGGCAGCCTTTCTGCGCGTGCGCGCCCGGCATCAGGCATCAACAGCTCCGAGCTGCCTCGGGACGTTGGCGAGTCGACTCGTCACGTGGGCCTGGATTTCGCGTGGGAAGGAGACTCGGGAAGACGCGGTTAGGGCGTGGCCTGACCTGGGCCCGCGGCAGCCTCACGCAGGCGCCCCGCTCCTTCCGCAGTTCCGGGGAGCTGGCCAGTGCGTGGACAGCGTGGCTTTTCACCGGGAAAAGACGCACGGTGCAGCCGGGGTCGCCCACCGTGTGCCTTCCCGAGCCGCGCAGACCGGGCACTGTCCCCCGGGAGTGCGCGGGGTGGGCGGGGCCGCTCCCTCTCCCAGCTCGCGCCTGGCCCGCACCCCTGGGCGCCCTCGGCTTGCAGACGCCCACTCCAATCTCTGCGTGTCCTCGCCGGGCAGTCTGCTCTGTGCCTGTCTCTTTGCCACCGCTGATAAGGACCCCAGTCACCTTGGGCCCCCCCCCCCAGTATGGCCCCATCCTCTCCACTCACCTGCAGTGAAGGTGCATCTGAGGTCCTGGGGTTCAGGGGTCAACATGTCCTCGTCTGGGGAGGAACACAGGTCAATCCCAAACATCAGCCGAACGCACCCCCTCTTTAACTCCCCGTTTCTCTGACCGGGGTTGGGGGCGGGGCGCACCAGGTCAAGGGTCAAAGGTGAGGCAGGGCAGAGCGGAGGGGCACAAACGAGGAGCCGCTTCCCCAGAGACTGGCTTTCGTCTCCAGTTTTCGGCTTCAAGGAGGGGCCGGGGGCAGGAGCTCGGGGAGCGGGGTGGCCGGTTTCCCCTGGGCCGGTGGACTTCTCGGCGATATTTTCTAGGAACAGGTCTGGCCTCGGACGCGCCGAGCCAGGGGAGGAGCCTCCGGGGCTGCATCCGTGGTGCCTCTGCCTTCCGCCGGCGCCAGGAGCCCAGGGCGCCGCTTCCAGCCGCGCCACCGAGTGGCCTTATCGCCGCCATCAGACACTGGGAAGTGCCAGCCAGCGTTCGAGGGGCAAGACTTCAAGCGAAATGCAAGCGCCGCCTCGCGGTGACGAAGCGCAGCTTTCCTGCATCGGGCGGGCGTTGGAGACAGGGCGGAGAGGCCCGTTTCTGTGTCTCCTCCCCGAGCCGGGAATAACGTTCCCCGGGCCGAAGGCTGAGGTCTCACCGAGCGCAGACAGCCGACCAGATGGGACCCACCTCTCCCCACCCACCCACCGGGCGGAGAAGGGTGCGGCGGCGCATCCCGGGAAAGCAGGGACTCCCAGGGGCAAAGGCCCGGGGAGATGCGGTCGCCACAGCCCGGCCGGGGAGACTGTCACCTGTCGGGTGTCACAGACGGGCCTTCAAGAAACGCGTGTCTCGGCCGACCTGCAGAGGGGGCCCCCCACGTGCCAGCAGCGTCGCTATCACCAGGCTGGTGTTCATTCCCCCGGTCCCCTGCGCCCCACTGCCATGCCCTTGCAGGGCGACAGGTGCCTCGTGCGGACTTCCCACACCAGCAGCCCCGCCCACACAGACAGCCCCGCCCACCCCGGTGGCCCCGCCCACACAGACGGCCCGCCCACTCCGATGGCCCCGCCCACTCCGGTAGCCCCGCCCACACCGGCGGCCCTGGCCGCCACCCCTCCGATTGAAGCCAGGCCCTCGTAGCTTTCGCTTCGCCTCTTCGGCGGCCTGTGCGCCATCAGCCCTGAGCGAGGGACGCCTCTCCCCACGCCTGAGCTCCGGTTTCCGATGGGCGGCGGGCCAGACGCGGGCCTCCAGCGGCTGAGAGACGTTGCTGTGTGTCATGTCCCTGGGCTGCGAGGCCTTCAGTGTCTTTGTCAATGTCGGATTCACACAGTGCTGCTTTTAAAAACTGATTTTTAGGGAGAGAGAGAGAGAGAGAGAGAGAAGCGCTGACTCGTTGATCCACTTACCGTGTACTCAGCGGCTGCCTCCTGCAGGCGCCCGACCCGGGCTCCAGCCCGCAGCCTGGCGAGTGGGGACCGCGCTCTCACCCACGGAGCGCCCCCCCCCCCGCCCCCCGCCGCCGGCGCTGGGCTGTGAGGCTTTCAGAAACCATGCCTCTTGGGGACCTTGCCTGTCTGCCTCCCAGGTCTCCGCCGCCGCGTCCTGGAGGCCGCGGTTAAAACGGGGTACGGCTGTCGTCACCGCCCACAGGGAGGGGAAAGGGAATGGGATGGGGCGGTTTCAGGCACTTGCCACTTGCACCCCACATCTGGGGGAGACTTCATCCATCCCATCCTCCACGAGTAGCTGAGCCCCCAGCACAGGGGGTCCCCCCCACGCTGGCACCCGCAGGCCAGCGGGGACGGTGGGGGGGGGACAGGAGGGGACTGCCTTGCCTGTGTTAGAGAGGGTCGCCGTGGGGGCAGGAGCCCTGTGCGGCCTGCGCAGGAGAGTGGCGGGCAGACCCTTCTCGGATCTGGCCGGCTCCGTGTGCAAATCCCGAGACTCCGAGACCCTCAGCACAGCCCCCTTCCTCCCTCCCTTCCGCCACCGTCCTTCCCGCAGGAAACACGGGGGCCCACGAACAATGGATGGAATGCATTCCAAGAATTGTGTCTCAGTGAGACGAGACGTAGTTTTGTAACAGAACACTGCGCCCAGTGACTTAGAGTTTGTGGTTATGGGGAGGGAGATTAAAAGTTTGTATTGTTTCCTGGTCAAAGAGCTTGTGTGCTCTACCCAGGATGGCCCATGAGGTACAGCAGTTACTGAGAAACAAATCACATAGTGACACCCATGCACACACGGCTGTTTAAGGGCCGGCTTCGCCTTCTTCAGACTCACTCGGAGGCCCGGGCGCCTCACTGCTCTCAACGGAGCCACATTACAGTCGGAGGCAGAATTCTGAGAACGGCCTGGCCGAGAATTTGGAGTCATTGCGTGAACCACATCTGAGCAGATGAAGAAGCGGCCATGAAGAGAAGCAGGGGAGATTTCAGGTTCCAAAGCAACGAGGCTGCAGTGGCTGCATGGAGGACGCAGTGGCCGAGGGGCAAGGGGGCGGCAGGGTCTGTCCAACTCGTGTCCCGGAGACCTGCCCCCGGCCCCCCCGGCCCACCCCCCGGCACCCCCTTCCGGGCCCCCCCAGCGCCCCCCCAGCTCCCCCCCCTCCCCTGCACGTCAGAATCCAGTCCAAGTCCAGGTTGCTGTGCCCTGTGCTCCCAGCCCACAGACGGGAGCTGGGCGTCCCCCAGGACCCCTCCAGGGAACCAGCTAGACCGGTTCTGCCACTTACACTCAGGGACACTCTGGGGACTACCGGCTCACTGTGAAGGGCACCTGCCCCTCAGGAGCAGCCGGGAGAGAGGCAGAGCCAGGTGTGGGGGAGGCTAACCCTAACCCTGCTTCCGTTTTGCCCCCACAGGTCCTGCACTGGCTCCTGGCACCGCATCCGGTGGCCTGGGTCCCCACCAGGCCTGGCTGTGGCCACCGGCCTTGGTTGGACCTCGCCTCCCGCAGGGCTGTGTCCGGCTGAGGTGCAGTGCAGTGCACGGGACCCTGGGCCACCCGCCAGTGGGATAGGGGGCGTCGTCCTGAGCGGGGGTGGGGTGGCCAAGGGCACCTGGACCCGGCCCACAGGCCTGGTTTTCACCACCAGGGACCTTGAGGAGTGGACACGCACTCGGCACAGATGGCCGCTTCTGAGGGCCCAGCGGGAACGCAGACACGTTTGTTGCCGACCTTGAACAGGGTCCACCGTGAGTCTGAGAGAGACCAGAGATAAAACACTGATCGCAGTGACCACACCCAACCAGATCGGGTAGATGTTGGTCTGGGGTTGAAGAGGGCCAGCACTGCCTCACGGAGCTGTGGGACTGTCGCGCCAGGTCGTATTGCTCTGAACTGAGACCTACCGGGTTGCAAACACCCGGCCCTTGACACGGAATTGTGTTTTGATTTTGCAGATCACCTGCGACCGGGCTCGGGGAGGTCACGGCGCCCTCTGGCGGCAGCGCGGGGAGCCACCGCAGGTGTTTCCCGGCTTCTCTCGGGGTTGCCCGACCTCCGGTGCCAGGGGCCCTCTCCTTTCGCCCCCGCTGCGCAGCACCGCCGCCGCGCGGCCTCCCAGCTCCCAGGCCCGGCTCTGCCTGGTCTTCGCTCCCCCCACCCTCGGAAGCCCACCGAGAAGGGCCGAGTGTGTGGTGTTTGTCGTCCCGAATGAGAACGGCCTTTCCGGTGCCCCCAGCCCGCCGGCTCCGGCGGAGAGGGCGGAGGAACACGCCGCGCGCGGGTCTGCCGGGCTGGTCCTCTGGGCGGTGCCGGGCGTCCGGGGATTTCCGAGCGCCTCCGCGGGAGTTCTTTCTTCTGTTCGCCTGTCGCCGTGCAGGTAAGTTTGCGTTCCGGAGGTTGGAGCTCGGCTTCTGGGTTCCGACGTTTTCCTCTCTCTCCAAGCATCTACTTCTGTTTGGAAAGCCCCAGCGATGCTCTTTCCTCTGTGGTCAGTTTGCTTAGGGGCTCGGAGCCACCAGCTTCCACTTAAACACTCTGTCACCACCGTCACCATCTCCACCATCACCACCACCATCACTACCACCACCATCCCCACCACTATCACCACCATCTACACCACCATCACCACCACCACCATCACCACCATCACCATCACCGTCATCATCACCATCTTCACCACCATCACCACCATCACCGTCACCAGCATCGTCCTCGTCGTCAGGCATCACTGTCACATCAACACCTCCTACCAGAAGGCTCTCCCGTGGGGGGCAGAGTCAGACCCCCACAGTGGCTCCGGCGCACAGACCGGGTCTTCCTCGGTTTCTTCGCCCTGAGGTTCCGAGAGCCACAGCAGCTCTCCCCCGGAGGGCTCTGTGCCGACAGAGCGGCACCAGGCCTGTGCAGCTGCTGAGCGTCGGTGTCCGTGGGCTGCCTGCTGTGTGTGGCGGCGAACCCCCTGTGAAACAGTGCGACACGGGCAGAGGCGAGTGTCTGTGCACACTTCAAACTTTTATCTGAGGTACGAGCTCACGCAGTGACAGGTTTTGCTCACCTGAGTGGAGGCAGGTGAGGACCGTGGAACAGAGCGAGGCTGGCCCAGGGGTCAGGAGGCCTGGGTCCCGAGCCGGCCCCACCTCCGCCCCAGTTGCAGGTCAGCAGGGCAGCCCCACCGGCCGCGGGGCAGCAGGGCCAGCTCCCAGGCGGCACCCTGATGCTGACCCCGGCACCCCTGCCGTCGCCCGAGATGCTGAGGCTGACGCCGGGCCCCTCAGGGCAGCCGGGGCCACTGCAGTCCACTCCTCACTCCCCTGCCACCCAACCTCTTCCATGGTTGGCTGTCCACCCTTTTCTTAAAAAAAATTAGGAGCTGCGTTTTCCTAGTCTGGATATTCCTTCAAAATAATTTGCTGGAGTTAATTTTCAACCAGGAAAACGCTCTCGTCGGCTGCAGTTGTTCGGCTGCCGCAAAGCACAGTCTGTGCAGGAAAGAGGGCAGAATCGCTGGGTTCCTGCCCCTCCGCCATCCATTTCTGGTGGTGCCCTGTTTACTCATTGACTGCACCTTTCGCTCACTTTCTGTGCTCCTGGTCAGAGTGTGAGCACGCGTGGGCGGGATACGCGTTCTGCGCGGTCTGTCGGTGCGCCCGCGGGCCTGGAGCATGCAGTGGGCATGCAGGACCTGCTTGCGGGGTGAGAGGACGGGTCCACCCGAGACAGCGGTCAGCGCACGGACCGGCAGCCGGCACAGCAGCCCTGCAGGCCCGGGAGTCTCCGCACTCTCCGGCCCTTGCCTGCCGTCCCGGGGGCCGTCCTGTGACGTAGGACACTACTGCAAGGGACCCAGGGACATCGGAGAGAGGTCGTTGGGGGGAAGGACGCGGTTGTCTCTGGAGCCGCGGGAGCCAGCCGGACCCGCCCCAGGTGGCTCGTCCTCCCGGGCAGGTAGCCCAGTGCACTGAGCCGGGCTCGGTGGCTCAGCTCTGCGGCCCCTTATTCCAGTATGGCTGCCCAGGGTTCTGAAGGGTTTGTGTCATTTCGTTTCGATTTTAAATACAGAACGTGTCCGCTGGATGGCAGACGCCTGTCTGATTTACCATCTAAACATGAGTGAAAGCCCGGGCTCTGGAAATGGGGGGAGGGGAGCTTTCCCACGGCGCGGCCTCCCAGGAGGCCGCTGGTTGCCTTCCATCTGCTGATTGAGCCGCTGGGCTCCCGGCCGCCCCGGTAAACCCTCCTAAACCCTGCAGTTAATCAGGCTGCTGGGACGCAGTGTGGCGGCCAACCGTGAGCCTGGAAACTATCTCAGAGTGTGATTGCTTTGTAGGTCGAGTGAAAACATCAGAGCAGGGGAACCTAATCTCTTTCCCACCCAAGATGTAAATAAACAGTATTCGGCGCCCACCGAGAACTGTGGGGAGACTTTCAGGAAACTTCGAGGGGCAGCTTGCTGGGAGTTTCGTAAATGATGGGTTTGGGATCCTGCCTCTAAGAGCACTTAAAATACCTCGGTCGTACCAGCAGTTAGAAAGGGCCTCCGTTTAAGGAGGAATCATGGAGAGTGTAAATACCGGTTGGCCAAAAGGTTTGTTCGGGTTGTTTTTCTTTAAGACGGCTCCAGTAGCACTTAGGTGTCTTTAACTTCTTTCAAAAATGGTTTTGTTGGACGGTCTTGTGACAGCTGCCGCATCAGCATGCATTTAAAAAACTTATCAGAACTGGCAAATTTTGTGTAGCTATTTTAACGTTGCAGATGGAAGAAGCTAGACAGCGTTTCAGCATATTGTGATTTATAATTTCGAGAAAGGTGAAAACACAGCTGAACCACAGATGGAGATTTGTGCCGTGTGTGGAGAAGGGGCTGTGACTGAAGGAACGTGTCGGCCGTGGTCTGCGAAGTTCCGTGCTGGAGATTCCTGGCCGGAGGGTGCAGGAGGGAGCCAACATACTCGAAATATCCAAATCAATGAAGCTACTGGTGAAAATGAAAACTGTGTATTTTATTTTATGGGAGAGACTGTATGGACTTTTTTTTTAAAGATTATTTATGTATTTATTTTTAGAGAGGGAAGGGAGGGAGAAAGAGAGAGAGAGAGAGAGAAACATCAATGTGCCGTTGCTGGGGGCCGTGGCCTGCAACCCAGGCATGTGCCTGACTGGGAATAGAACCTGCGATGTTTTGGTTTGCAGCCCGCGCTCAATCCACTGAGCTACGCCAGCCAGGGCCGTATGGACTTTTTGGCCAGCCCAACATCTTGGACAATGCGCTTGGATTCTGTGCAGGGGCCGTGCGCGTGTGGCTTACGTGGCATTTCCCCTACGCGACAAGGTTTACTCAGCATCGGCTTCCACCCGCGGGAGCCCGGGGCCCTGGGACAGGTACCTGCTGGGTCGCAGGGTCAAGCGGCGTCCGAGCACGCTGGGGGGAGCCCTCCTCCGACGCGCCCCGCCCCACCCCGCCCCGCCCCGAGCGGCTGCGACGTGTGGAGCGTTTCGACCGCGGCACCCGGGACGCTGTAGGGGTCCCCAAACCGAGGGTGGTTATTAGTTCTGTCTACAGGGAAAAAGGTTCTGCGGGCAAAGCCTGGTGTTTAAGTTTGGGTTTTGGTTTTCCCCCTACGTCCAGCAGGTGGCGGTCGGAGCCCACGAGTAACCGGGCTGCGGGGGGTTTCCAGCCGAGGTGGGTCTGGGGTGGGCGCCGCGTGCGGGGCGCGGCCCAGCCCGGTGAGCTGGGCGACCACTTCCCGGGGTGCTGTGGGCGGGTGGGGGGGTGGGGGGGTTCCTGCACCAGAAGGAGAGCCGTGCTCCCGGAGTCGGAGAAGAGAACGTCCTGAACGTCAGAAACTCTGTTGCTTCTTCGGGGTCTCAAACTTTCTTTGTCCCTGGGCAGCCCGAGCGCCGCGGAGGGCGGGGGCTGCGGGTTTGAAAGGCCTCGGCGTGCGTCCCCCGGGCCGTGCAGCCAGACTGAGTGCGGCCGCGCCCGGGTGCCTCGGAGCGGCGGAGCTGCGCCGGGCGGCCCGGGGGAAGGGAAGGTGTGCCGCGACGTGGGGGAGGGGAGCCCCAGCCTCCGAGGACCCGGGGGAAAGCCGCCAGCACCCGCTCCGTGAGGTCGAGCCCGTGCTGGCCGGGAAGCCGCGCGGGGACCAGGCCGCGCAGAAACCGCCCCGCCAGGAGGAGGCGTTTCTGGGAGGTGACGACACGCCCCCCGATTCTGGTGCACAGACTCGTCAGGAGGGACGGAACGTCGCTCAACACGCGGGAGACGGGCAGGGGCGCTTCCCCGAGGAGGGTTCCGGTGGCCACTGGCGGAGACGGAGCCCGGCCCGAGGCGACGCAGGCCGGCCAGTTCCTGGAGCAGGTCCCGCCAGCGGCTGCGGGTCGGTGGGCACAGGCTGAGGCCGGGGTGGCGCTGGGGAGGGCGCTGCAGACCCCTCAGTGGGCGCGGCGGCCCCCTTTCTGGGGGTCACGGGGCACTCTGCTAAAACGACACAAGGCTTGCTGCCGGCCTCGCAGCTCAGCCTCCTGGTGCAAAGATGTCTCTTGCAGAACTTGTTTGGAAAAACAACAAATGATCAGAAAGGCAAAGGTTCAAATCAAATAAAATGGGGCCTATTGAATGAAAGTAAAATTGTACAAACAAAAGATAGAATAGCAAAATTCTGAGCGTCATTAGAAAAAGGAAAAACGATATTTGTGCAGATGCCGCATGTATTTATTTAAGTGGAAAAGCTGCTGGACAGCACATGTGTGTGTGTGCGTGTGTGTGCGTGTGTGTGCGTGTGTGTGCACTTCCTGTGCACGTGTGGACACGACTGTCACGGTCGACCCCTGCGGGAGGAAACCCCGCCCCTGGCAGACGGTGCGCTGCACCCCGGCGGCTACCTGCAGCGGAACCCGACACAGTCCCCTCTCCGGCCCCCGAGTGCCCCCGACAATGAGCCTCCCCCTCTCTCCCGCCGTCCACGCGGTCGGTTCGGACGGCGGAGGGGCCTCGTGTGGTCCTTGGGGCAGGTTGCGAGCAGTGAGCAGTGCGCATCCACCGCCGTTCTCGCGGGTGGACGCCGAGGGGGGCCCGTTCCGGGCACAGCGGGCACCGGCGCCGGCGTCTGCTCCCCGCCCCCTTGCGAGCGTTCCTGGGGACGCGGGCCTGGCGTCCAGCTCGCTCCTGGGCTGTCCTGTGGGCGCAGCGACAGGGTGTCGGGGCCGGTCGGAAACCACGAGAAATGGGGGCTGTGTCTCAGGGCTCGGTTCTCAGGCCTGCGGCTGGGGGACGCGTGGTGGGTGGGCATCTCAGCGGCTGTTTTTCCTGGGCAGGTGGACGCGGGGGCAGTGAGACCCTCCTCTCTCCAGCCTGGGTCTCTGGAGGGAGCTCCAGGGCGAAGCAGAGTGGGGGAGCAGTGAGCTGGAGCCTCGCTTGGGGTCCGGGCCACGGGCAGAACAGTGGGCGACCTCATTCCACGGCGAGGGCCCGGGCCCTCGGGTGGTCTGGGACCACAGGACAGACCCCGGAGTGGGTGGAGTCCTGAAACGCGCCGAGTACCCACCTGGCCTGCCGAGGGCCCCCCGGGGGCGGTCAGCGCCCAC